GCCTTCTTCAGACTCACATCCTGATCACCCTGCATCAGCTAACTGTGTTGCATCCTACTAAAAGTAGCCAAATTCTATTAGGCCATATTTACAATTTCAAGCTTCCATTCCAATTGGCCAGTGTCAAGTTTTACATCCAAGAAGTGGCCTCACTTGTCAAGTGTTACAAACAGAAGTGGTCTTCATCTGTTTTATAACATATGGGGCATATTTGCCATGTCAAATGTGGGACAAGTTGGCTTACACACTGATTAGCCAATGCTGACTGTGCCGTATATTTGCCAAAAGTGGCCCAAAGTGATAATTGCCAAAAGTGGCCCAAATTGTTATTAATTATTTGGGCAATATTTATCATTTTATATGCGGGCCACATTAACGGATTCACATAAGGGCCACTTTAAGCTCACAGCCACATTAGCCAGGGCTCACTGTGCCATATCTTTGCCAAAACTGGCCCAGATACAGTTTAGGATAACTGTGCCACATTTGTGGCATCATATGTGGGCCATTTTAGGCTCACAACCACATTAGCCAGGGCTCACTGTGCCATATCTTTGCCAAAACTGGCCCAGATATGGTTTAGGATAACTGTGCCACATTTGTGGAATATGTTTGAGGATAACTAGGCCACATTTGCGACATCATATAAGGGTCACTTTAGGCTCACAGCCACATTAGCCAGTGCTCACTGTGCTATATCTTTGCCAAAACTGGCCCAGATATGTTTTAATATACCTGGGCAACATTTATGGCATCATATAAGGGCCACTTTAAGCTCACAGCCACATTAGCCAGTGCTTACCGTGCCTGTCATTTTATATGCGGGCCACATTTGCGGCATCATATGTGGGCCACTAGGCTCACAGCCACATTAGCCAGTGCTTACCGTGCCATATCTCTGCCAAAACTGGTCCAGATATGGTTTAGGATAACTGGGCCACATTTGTGGCATCATATGTGGGCCACTTTAGGCTCACAGCCACATTAGCCAGTGCTTACCGTGCCATATCTTTGCCAAAACTGGCCCAGATAGGTTTTAGGATAACTGTGTCACATTTGTGTCATCATGTGCGGGCCACTTTAGGCTCACAGCCACATTAGCCAGTGTTCACTGTGCCATATCTTTGCCAAAACTGGCCCAGATATGCAAATGTTGGTT